TCTTAGCCTTCATTCATGCTATTTCAATTCATTTCAGTCAATTTGATTTTTACTGTTAAATTCATTCATGGAGGTGTAATTTGGTTGCTTTCATTTTATTATAAATAAGTTTTATGTATTCTACCATTGGTATGGATATTTTAGCACCTAAATTTAATTGCACACACACAAAAAAATTCTTCAACTATCATACAAATTTTAGGGGCTCAGTTCTGTATTTTCAGATTAAAAAAAATGTTTCAAATATATCTCTATGTTATTAATTTTTGCCTGTAGAATGTCAAATACTCTAAGTCGAATCTTGTATGAAAATTTTCTTTGATTTTTCACATTACCGAACCAAAAAAATATGTTATGTTTAAAGAACACAAAAAAAGAAGCTTATGTCAAATTTAAATTAAAAAACTAAAATCTATTTAAGGTCTAAGTAAAATTAAAGTACACTTACAAATGTCAGAACATCTAGCATTCAAAATTAATCATGAAGCTAAATTTCATAAAATTTAAGCCTCTGACACACAATAGTGTTTATTAAAAGTAGAGCCGTCAAAATGGGTCACAACTCGCAGGTCAATTCAGCCCACCACGGATTCGAGTCGGGTTGAGTTTGAAAAAATTGTAATTTTATATGCATGTCAGATTTCAACCCGACTCATTTAAACCCGACTCATGCGGGTTGAACCCGTGGTAGGCCGGATTGGCCCACCAACCCACCTACCTAATTTTATTTTATAAAATTTAATTTTAATTTTATAAAAAAAATATTTATTATTTTTTTTGTTTGAAAAAATTATTTAAATTTCTTATTTTCATAATTAATTAAACACCCATGTTGGGAGTGAAATTTGGGAGTGAAATTTGTTTAGATTTGAATTATAGAAAGTTTATAAAAAAAATTATTTAAAAAAAATATCTCTCAAACAAAGTACAATAACATATCTTTTGTTTTTCATTTTCAGATTGAGTCCAAGAAATTAATGAAAGATGGAATCAAAAAAGTTGCAGTCTTGGATGTGGAGCAGACTCATCAGGTCCAAGACTTCTAAGTGGCATTCAGAAAATCTTAGAAGTATGTAATGCAAATTACAATTGGAATAATCTTGTCATCTGCTTTTTTTATCATCGTCAAAAGCAAAATAAAGAAAAAAGCAAAAATATAATGTCGGGTAAATAATTATTCATCTTTTGCTAAATATATTTAAAATAAATATAATTACAACTTTATTAAATATCACTTAATTATGTTCTATATATAAGTAATTAAAAAGTTGTCAACTTAATAACTTGACCACACCCATATTAATTGTTGATAGGATTGGTGACTTTTTACTACATTAATATAGTTAAAATAATGAACAAATTCATTTAATACCTTTAATTACTTAAATCAAAATAAAAATTGCATGTTATGTTATATTATTATTTAATTAAATATGTTATTAGTTGTTATGGAATTATCTTTAATGTTTTAAATTATGATATATTTTAATATTTAAATTTTAAAAGTAAATAGATATAGTTATTTTAATTTAATAACTATTTTTTGTACTTGTTAAATGATATTTTTGACTGATATTAAAAAAGAAACATGTTTACGCTTAAAATATATTTGACATGTTAAAAATATTAATATTATTATATTAAAATAATTATATTTATTTATTTTTTTAAAATTTGAGAACAAAATGTAATAAAATTTTGAAATAAAAATAAATTTTAATTTCGTTTCAAATACGAACTAAAAATATATTTTACCTTTTATTTTGAAAATACATGTCATTTATGATAAGCAAGAAAATTAACAAAATGGAATATTTTGCTACATTTACTATTAGTATTGAAGTCCATGAAGCTCACAGCAAATATTAAGAAATGGTTGTTAGAAATGTAGCAGTGGAATTCCTTAATTAAATCTATCTGTGTGTGTGATAATTAACGAAGCAAAAGGTTATTGTTAACAACATAATCATATTTTCTGTTCTTCGAAACAGACATTTTGTAGCTAGCTTTAACAAGGTTAAGGGCACTGCCACATTCTAAACAAGGAAAAGATAAAACAAGAAAACAAAAAATAACGTTGGTGTCATGTTATAACATCTTCTTTCAATACTCTTCCTCAAAAAAACATACTGGACATAAAAGGGGTTCACCATTCCCAACTTTTGTTTGCACTGCAAAAGTTGGGAAGGGTTGTTTGAATCTTGTTTTTTCCATTCGTTTGTCATAGGTTTCTCATCCAAATCTCAAAGCAAGATAATCTTATTCCATAATCGTTTATACATTACATACTTTCCTCCTTGAGAATGATCATGAAGAACATGACAAAACGATCCTTAACCACAGAGATGGAACGCAACGTGAGGCAAATGCAGAAGCTGATTGAAGATAGCGGAGATTCCTTTGCCCAAAAGGCTGAGATGTATTACAAGAAGAGGCCAGAGTTGATCTCTCTTGTTGAAGAGTTCTACCGTGGCTACAAATCTTTGGTTGAACGTTATGATTACAGTTCCACACCGTATGATCTTCAATCACAAGCTTCTGGTGTTTCAGATTGTGGTTCTGAGCCACCTTCTAGCATGCCTTCTCCCTCTCCGAGGAAGATGGGGCGTCGCTTATCCCCCAACCGTGCCGCGGGGTTCGATGTCTTTCTAGGTTCTGGTGGGAACGTGAATGGTTTTGATGCATGTCAAAAGGATGGAGATGGTTCTTCTACTTTGACAGAATCTGATGAGGATTATTATGATGATAGCTCTTCTATGAACAGCTTTTCAGGATTCTTTGGGAATGGAAATGATCAGAATGGTATGAGCAGAAGGGTGATGGAATTGGAGATTGAGATACCATCTGAAGGGAAAGAAAAACTGTTGAATGAGGAGGAACGTGTGAAAAATGCTGAGGATTTTCGTGCCAGGATCAATGCATATGAACAGGAACTACGGAATGTGAATGAGAAGTTGAGGCTTTCTGAAGGGGAGATTAGTATGCTGAAGAATGAGCTTGAAATATACAGATCAAAGGAGAATTTGAAGGGTGACGTTGGATTATCTTCATCTGTAGAAGGGGTAAGGATGGGAGAGGAATCCTTGGAGTTGAAGAAACTTGGGGAGGAGCTAAGGATGACCAATGAAAAACTTGAGTCTGCAGAAATGCAAATTGTTTCTTTGAAATTTGGGGCTACTAAAACGTTTGAAACTATTCAGCAATTGCAGGAACAGCTTGAGGTGGCTGAGAAGGACGTTGCTTCTTGGAAAATGAAGTTCAACGCTCAGAAAAGAGAAAACTCAAGACTCCTAGAAAGGCATGCAAAGATGAGAACCAATGTAGCAGACCGGGATCATGAGGTCGGGGATTTAAAAGCTCTTCTGTCTGATGTACAACAGAAAATGTTCTTTGAGAGATCAAGTTTGAAGTCTGAAATAACCAAGTTGCTGGGAGAAAAGACTCTTTTAGAGCAGAAGATGAAAGAATGGGAATGTCAATGCCAATGTTTAGAAGCAGAGATAAAAAGAATCCAGTCTGAAAAAATAGAGATGGGAGAGAGGCTAAAAGGAAATATTGAAAGTGGTGAGTGTTTGAAATTAGAGAGAGATAACCTGAGTGCAGAAGTTGGTTCACTTAAGAAAGTGATAGAATCAAGAGATAATGAGATTGAAGAGGCTCATAAAGAAGTGGAAGAACTAAGATCAAGAGGTAAGATCCAAGAGGAAGAGATTGAAAGGCAAAGGGTTGAGATATTAGGTGGAGCTGAAGAGAAACGTGAGGCCATAAGGCAGCTATGCTTCTCACTTGAGCATTACAGAAATAAGTATGATATACTTAGGCAGGCTTTCAGAGGAAACAAGAGGCTTCTTGTTTCGGCCACCTGATATGTCAACATGCATGTGAACTTGTACAATACCACCCTTCCTTCCTCCTGCTGTATATTTATTCTCTTCATGTTTCTGTGTCTGTCATGTCTTTCTTATACTTTGTGGTGTCTGATGTATATCACCCAAGTTTACGATAATGTAGAACTTAGAAGTCCTAGCCATGTTTCATGGTTTGTGATAATGTGGCTTGTTTGCATATATTTGTTCCAAGTGTCATCAGGTTCAGTTAGGAAGCTCTGCAGGACCAACTCTTCTTGAGGAGGAGGAGGCCCGGAGGCCCGTTAGAAGATTCCTCTAAAACTGCTTAGGTTTGTATGCTCTCCATCTTTCTGTTTAGTTGGAAGTTGGTTGTGCTGCATAAGTGAGAAATTATGTCATCCGTTCAGTTCAGAACAATATATGATCATATCTCATTATCATGAGAGTTGTTATTCTTATAATTTCATAATGTATTTCACAATTATAATTTATTTTCTGTCACTTTCCTCATATAAAGGGAGAACAATGTAATTTGTCTGCATTCATAGATTTTATATAGAAACTACTCGTTACTGAAATCACACTAAACCTTATAATACAAATTCTTTCCGGTACATGGACAATAAAATCCCCCACAATCAACTACTACGCAGTGGTGTTGTGATGTTCAGAGATTTGAATAGGACATGGTGTTTCGTATGCAGCGAGAAAGAGATACAATGTCCCGAATGTTTCATTAATTAACTGGTCACATAATTAATCTCATTTCATTTGGTGATTGTGATAAACAATCAAAGGTGAAAGATAAATCCTTACCACTACTATGGATCAAATTTATTCCATTGCAAAACCACTACTTTCTCAAAATTGCTTCGATAATCTCGTGCACACAAACATTTGAATCATTTTATTTCTTATATAAGATTTTGCGGAGAACATCTAATATTTAAGCCCAAAGAACGTTGCGTCAAGACCTCTTTACGTTTATTTGGGTGGCATGCTCAACACTGGAAAGTTTCATTCAACATATATTTCGAGGGTAGTCTATGAAAGCTCAAAAGTCCTAACATAGTTGCGAAATGCAGCAAGCAGGATATATATACATTTCATGATGATGATGAAATATCTATGCGAATAGAGGGTTATTTTTTGACGCAAAACAATTAAAAAAAAACATGAATATTTCTACGATTACAAAAGATGCACTACCTATATGACTACTCTACAAACCACCTAAGCGTCTAGCAAGCTACTTGTCACTAGTGTGCTAGCTACCTACCACAAGGATGCGAAAAGAACACGTAGCGTAGACTTGGAATCTTAACTAGAAACTTCTCCATCACCGTCATCAGCAACAGACCTATAAATGCACTTGGTCTGAAGAACATATATCAATAATGCACCAGCACTGCAAAACACAAACAATATGCACGGTGGAGAGGAAAAGAATTGTAGAAAAACCAGAGACCGACCGCTGAGAAGATGGAAACAATCCCGCCCCAAAATAAATAAATGTCATATCACCAACCTTAAGGGCTTTATCAGGTGTCATCAATCAAATGTGGCAAGCACCAGACAACACATTAATCGTCCCAGGCACTATCTGCTGCGCCCTCTCTTTTAATGTTTGCGGCAGTAATCATGAATTTATACTTATCTTCGATGTTAATTGAAGCAGCTCCCAATCCTAACTGTTTGGATAAAGCAATATTTGCCTCTTTTTGTGCAGCTGCAGCTTCTTTCTCCTTCCGTCTAGCAACCTACAAATCAAGGGTCCAAAGTCAACCGTGACATATAAGGTTAAATACAATATATTGAAAATGAAAGTTTTTTGGGAGAAATTGAGCATGCTGGACCGTCAGACCCAAACCTCCAGCGCCTATGTATAATAACTAATCAAGGTAAAAATTAATATAGATGTATAACTGTCTAGCACAAGCCCATCTCAATAAAACTACTAATACCGTAAGACTTCTAAACCGCTAGTTATCTGTTTAGTATATCTTTTAATATATGAGTAGAAACTCAGTTCTTGAACCCTCATCTTTAACGGTTTGCGAAATGAACTCCAAGACTCTTAATATTATAGCAGAATAAAAATATAGTACCTTTCCGGTTGCAAATGTCAGCGTGTTCCCAGATTCGGCGTCAGCTATTGCCTTCCTTATATTTGCAACAAGGAACTAAAGAGAAGAACCATATTAATGTTAAAATCTAAAGAAAACATACAGTTCACTTTTTTACAATAAAAAAGGAGAGTAGCAAGCACCATGTCACGATCAGTGTAAAATGAAGTAGCTAATCCAGTTGATCCTGCACGCCCCGTCCTTCCAATCCGGTGTACATAATCTTCCATGGTCTATAATTGAGGCAGCCATAACTGATGCTTCAGGTATGCATTTGTCAAGAAAATTAAATTTGACTGAAAAATACCAGGCACATGAGATGCCAACATAGCAGTTGCAGAAAGGCAATCCACAAATAGTGGAAAATACCTGTGCGCTTTCTGATAATCTTTTCCTAGTGGATTACAGATAAAATTCAGTCATCAATCAATCAGTATATGCTTGAAGCAGAAATACCTTGGGAAGATCTAGATTGATGACATGGGACACTCCAGTGACATCCAAGCCACGAGATGCAACATCAGTGGCAACCTGAATCGTACAATATTGTTAGTGGATAAAAGGTACCTGAGCCTTTTTAAAGTAATTATGCAAAATTGTTAAGATTTCAATATTTTAACAAGATTTACCAAACACTGTGTTTGGATAAGGAATTTTAAGAAGGTAATTCCATTTATTTTAAGAATTTCAAAAGCTTTATGACAATATATTTTTTGGGTACAAAATTTTTGAAAGAAATTAAAATTCTAAAATTTTATTAGAGTAATTTGATTACTTAAAATTAAGAATTTGAAATTCTTCATACTATCAAATTCATATTTTGATCTTCAAAGTTTAGCTCTACCTAGGTCAGGACACACACACGGCTCAACCTAGGCCAGGGCTAACTTAGCTCAACCTAAATCAAGGCCTAATCAAGGCCTACTTGACTCAAGCTAGACCCAAATTGACTCAATTCGACCTTACACAATCCCGACCTAGTGCTATCTTACTTGGACCTAACCCATTCTAACATTTAATAACTTGAAAACAATATTGTTTAATGTAAATTGAGAAAAAGTTTTGCAAATATAAAATAAAAAAATATTGAAGAACTTTGACCAAAAAGTAACGTCAATCAAGATCAATTACAAAAATTTATCAACATTGACATTTTTAATTTTTAACAATTACTTGATATTTAAATAGATTTTTGAATTTGATGGTAATTGAAATACTTTATCCAAACAATATCTTGATCGTGTAGAAAATACAACATGGTACCTCAATGGGTTCACTAAATTAAACAGCAATTAGATATTTTTATCATAACAGTAACAACTTTGCCCTTAACATTTTCTTCTTTCTCCGTTTGATACAACAAGAAATGTCATTTAGCAATCAGGGAATAAAACAAGCCCAACACTATATTTAGACAAGCCATAGCAGGGTTATTTTCAACGATGTTCTTAATAAGTTAATACTGCTAAATAATGTAGAGAATATCAAATTTTAGACCGGAAGAAATGCTAAAAAAATCGAGTAACATGCACTGGTAGTAGAGATTACCAAAATGTTGGTAGAGCCACTCCGAAAATCATGCAAGGCAGCCTCTCTTTCACTCTGACTGCGACCACCATGAAGAGAAACTGCAGATAATCCTTGAGCTACCAATGCTTCAGCAACTTCATCGCACCTTGTCTATGTACACATAAAAAAACAAATAACAAGAAACATGCACACATCAATTTTCAAACAATCTATTCAGATTTTCAAGACCATAAACAAAAATGTCCATGCATGAACCTCTTGCATAACTATCTATGATTTCCAATTATCGGAACTAATCCACTTAGATCTTCAATACCCAGACTTGAGACAGAAAATATGAAAAAAATGTCCAGAAGAGCTTAATCATCTCTTAGTTTATTCATCCGTTTACATAGATTCTTACATTTCCATGGCAGTGATTCTTCATTGGCGTCTTCATCAATTAAATATTAAAAATGTTGTTCTACATGGCTATCTTGAGGAAGAAGTCTACATGGTGCAACCTCTTGAGGTTGTTGTTTAAGGGGAGTTTGGTTTGGTTTGTAAGTTGCGCTGCTCTTTCTATGGTCTCAAAAAATCTCTCCATGCTTAGTTTGGAAAGTTTAACCACATTGTTCAATCCTTCGGATTGAAAAACAGTGAGGCAAACCGCAAACCACTATGTTTTCTATTGTCATACCTCCCTTGGAAAATGTGTACTTAATAGTGTATGTTGATGGTATAGTTATTATAGGGAATGGTGCTACTAAAATCTCTCAATAAAGGAACACTATGCAATCATTTTCAGATCAAGGATCTGGGAAATCTCAAATATATTTTTTAGCATAGAAGTAGCTCAATCAAAGGAAGGAGTAGTAATATGTCAAAGGAAATATGCTGTACATCAAATAAGAGACAGGATAGGTTTTCTCTAACCTAGAAAGATATAGAAGACTGATTGAAAAACTTATTTATCTCACTTTTACCAGACCATATTTGTCTTTTGCAGTTGAAGTTCATTAATGCAAAATCCTTGTATTGATCACTGGAATGTTGTCATTCCTATTCTAAGATATCTCAAAAATTCCTGGAGGACAAGGACTACTCTATGAAGATAAAGGGAATATCCAAATCTTTGGATGTTATAACACTGATTGGGCTAGTTCTCATATAGATAGATTCTCTAGTAAAATGTCGTTATCTGATCGTCTACTAAAGTTGAGTATAGAGCAATGGTATCCCTCATTAGTGAGCTTATTATTAGGGCAATAGTTCCTCCAAGAATTAGGTTTTTGTGACATTCAGTCGATGAAGATTTATTGTAATAATCAAGTTGTTCTCCAAATTGCTTCCAATTCAATGTCGAAGGAAATTTGCACTAAGTTTGTTGGATCATATGATCAACTTGCAAATGTATTAACAAAAAATCCTTGAAAGGCCCTCAGATTAAATTTATTTGTTCCAAACCTAGCATATACAATTTGTATGGTCCAGCTTAAGGGGGAGTACTAAAATAAATAGGAATTATTATAAGAAGTTGTGTGTTGTGTTGGACCTAATTCCTAAATGTATCTTTCTGAATTCTCTTTTCTTCCCTCTCATATATTGTACTTGATGTATCCAAAGTGATTATAAATTTGAAATACTAAGAGAGGGAAACATGCTCTCTCAAATTTATTCTAATTCCGTTGTATCTTCAACTATATTGATGCATATCAGGATCAAAAAACAAAGCATACCTTCCTCTCAACAAACACAATTGTTAATGGAAATGGATGGCCACATTTTTCAGCCTGTGATGCATCCTCTACAAGTAAGTCTAGAAGTCGGTCAATCTACAATAACAATACAAGATTTCAGAACAGAGTGAAAACATGGATCATGAAAACAGAACCTAGAAACATTAAAAAAAAATCTTTGAAACCAATGAAACTAAACTTTTACTCCAACTATTCATAAATATATTTCATTTTTAAAGTAAATAAACAAACCTTCTCGTTTTCAGAAATTTTCACAAGCGTTTGTGAAACATTAGTTGTTGGGCTACTCACTTTCCCCACCTTCACTTGCACTGGGCTAGCCAAGTACTCCTGAAATTAAACAAATGATTGGTGAACCCCAAAAATATTCCTTCCACAACTGAGCATACAAAGAAATATATTGCTAAATACAATATTATCAAAAGAATGTATTTTGGGGATATATTTAATTTTAAGGAAGAGAATCATGGAAAAAAAAGATAAAATAGAAAATCCTAAAAGATTTACTATACTTGAATTACTACACATCTAATGTACTACATGTTATTATCAAGTAGCTAGGCTGCTTACGAAGTTATGCAAAAAGCAAATAATTAATGATAGAACTACTGTATGCCTAAACATCATTTTCTGTCAACAATGAAGGAAACCTGACCTTTGCTAATGCTTCAATCTCCACAGGCATTGTTGCACTAAAAAGCAATGTTTGATGCTTCTCAGGAAGACTTCTCATTACCTGAGGATAATATTAGAATATTCATATTTTCTTGAGTAATCTAGAAAAGGCGACTATTATTAATTTCACGAGAATGCTATATGGAAACAAAATAAAGATTAACATAATATTAGAACTATTGCTGATAACCCATTCCAATGGGACCATAGTATATATACAAAAATAACATACACAAATTTCAAGCATGGTCATAACAGCTAGATCACAAAAATCAAACTAAGGTACAAACTAAATAAACGTTGTAGAAGATTAAATTGGAGAATGAAAATTAAGTTTTGTCCAAAAAAAGACTATTTTTAATGCTATTTTTTCTTCAAAAAGTGTAGAATTGTAACCTCTCTATGCTTTCTGATTGAAGGACATCTTCTCCAGTTAAATGTTTAAAGAAGTGCAACTCAATATAACTAGTTATAGTGTGGCGTCATTGGCTTGACTTCAAAACCGCAACAGTTTAAATAGAGAGGGGAAAAGTTATGAGGAAACAAAAGTTTTGAAAACACTGTAAAGAGAGCACAAACACCACAAATAGGTCACACTAGTTATCTTACATTAGGTATGAAGCCGTCAAGAAAATAAAAGAGAGCCCAAATACAAACAAAAAGCTCAAAATACAAACCTCTCTTATCTGTGGTTCAAAACCCATATCCAGCATTCTATCTGCTTCGTCTAGAACAACAAAAGAAATTCTAGAGAGGGAAGTATTGCCTTGTTGCAAGTGATCAATGAATCTTCCAGGCGTGGCAACTGCTATTTCAATCCCTGCTCTAAGTTCTGCCCTCTGTAATAGAGACCAGAAAGAGAACACAAAGAAAACTGTTACCTTCAAGAAGTATAGCTTAATGAAACTTGAAATAAAATGTGTTGCAAGACTCCTTGGAGAAAAAACGTGCATTTCCTCCAAATACAAACATAAAATAGCATCCACTAACACTACTAAGAGATACTTCTATACGAACATGAAAGAGCAACCACTACTTAGAGATACTTCACTATACAAGTATCCAGTGTTAGACATTAACAACTACATCATATCTTTATTTTAATGTTGCATTTGCATAATTATAATTGTATATCTGTATGTTTTATAAATTTTATTATATACATCATAACTCTGTATCCTGCATGTGTTGTATCCTATACCTTTTAAGAATAGTTGTATCAACAAATTGGAAACACATCATATAAGTCCGTCATATAAATAACATAAATATCAGCAGCACATCAGGAGAGCTAGCTGTGCAAAACTGAATACACAGCATCTCCAAGTTCCAAAGGAAAAACATAAAAATGACATTAAATATTGCAAAAGCTTATGCATAATTAACATACAAAAACTTTTATTATGCTGTCAGATCATACTTAACACATAGAAAAAACAAATAATACCATCATTTATCTTTGTGAAAACTTTTAAAACAGCAGGCAAAATAGCCAAGAAATAAAGATTATGTCAACATTTATTACCTGCTTTTCAATGTTTGTTCCGCCCACAACAATAGCAGTTTTTAATGACTCAAGGGATCTGCTAAAAGCTTTAACCTACCAAAAATCAAAACAAGAATGAAAAGAAAAGCTGATAGTTGGAGAAAGGAAAATTATTAAGTACTAAATAGAAAGGAAAAATATTAAGTTCGAAATGACCTAATGTAGAACATGTTTTCAGGCATAATACGAGAGATGTCAAGCTCAAAACAAAACATGTAATTCAAAAGTAAGATAGCAAGAATCTTGTACTACTACCGACTATATTTATTAAGATCCAAATTTCAAAAAGGTAAAAGCATAGAGAATAGATAATCGGTGAACCTAGACATATGAAAATCATTAGGAGAGAGTTTAAAAATCATTACAAGATGGGAGAAATAAACAATAATTTTGTCCCCAGATTACCCATTATTCATCCACAACAAAAACAAATACATATATCACCTCTTTTTCTATTTGTTGAGCTAGTTCTCTGGTAGGAGCCAAAACTAATGCCAGAGGACCATCATTGCGCCGAATTGAAGGTTGGGCCAAGCAATGCTAAAAAAGGAAGGAGAAAAATTAAATCACAACTAAAAGTTTGATCATTTATATTTGCTTTGTTTTTCAGAAATATCTAAAGATGAGTTCTGTCCAATATGTCATATCTAATAATTTCCGACCTGTATCATAGGAATTGTGAAAGCTGCAGTCTTTCCACTACCAGTTTCAGCACAACCCAATAAATCCCTTCCACTGAGAGCAATTGGCATGGCTTGTGCCTGGATCGAAGTTGGCCTGGTGTATTCATGGTAAGCAATGTCCTTCATGATACTTGAGTGCAAACACTAAGAACAAGAAGTAGTTCACAATTGCAAACACATTTGCAACAAATTAAATAACAGTTCCAAAAAAAATCGGTACAAACACCTCATAATTACGTAGAAGAATATGACTACGATTAAATGTTAACAAAACTAAATACCATATCAGTAAACGATTCTATTGGTGCAGGTGCAGGAGGAGAATCAGATGCAACAGTAACATCAAGATTAAGCCGGGAACGGACCTCTTCAATCTGGACATGACAAACACATGAATTTCAGTAACCAATATTTGTTTGTCTAGTCACAAAAAAAGACAAATCAGGAAGACAAACAAACATCGAGATAAAACAACCAGACGATAAATAACAACTCTATTAAAGGTATTGGAAAAGAGTACAAATTGAGACTGTCAAATCAAAGCAGGTGAAAGAGGGAGAGATTATTAGGGCAAAGTAAAAAAGACAAGCAAAAGGAAAAACTCATCAGCGTTCAGTAAACTGAGGAAGAAGAAGAAGAAGAAATTCTGTAATAGTCCTCAATCAACCACAGAGTTGAAGCAAACTTCATTCATTTATTTTCCCGAAACATATCCTACCCGTACTAGGCATAGTTACAGTCTAAATGCAGACAACCTTCCAACAGTGATGTCAACCTTAATAGTCAAGTTAATTTTTTCAGCTAGACCAAAAGAAAGCCCTTACTCACTTCATGACAATACCACACTGCCGTACAGTTTCAAATTCAAACAAAGCCTTCAACTTTATAAAAGTAGTCAAAAAATGACTCGGATTGTCATCGTTACAAGCAAAGCATTGCATTTTACTATAAGCCTCGCTCAGATTAATCTGAACCCTCAGTCCTCGTAATCAGCTTCCTGAACTGACAAGCAAATTAGCAATTTCCCCAAACACGCAAACACTTGAATTGAAACACAATTTTCCTCCACCGAGATTCAAGAAAAACCCTAACCACGCGAATTTGAAAAGAAACTCACATTGCTCCCAAAAAATATTGAAATCAAAACATTACACGCAAAGGTCAATAGAGAGAGAAGCCCGTGAGATACGAGACTAAACAGAAAAGACGTGAAAACAGAGATTGGATTGGGACCTGCTCCGGAGTCATACGCGAAGCGCGTTCAGAGGGTTGCCATTGCGGGAAGACGGGGTCAGGTGTGGCGAAAATCCTCGGCGACGGAGGTGCGGCGGAGCTCCGGCGAGAGGCATTGTGGAAGGAGGGGAGCGAGGGAGAGCCATTGGCGTTGGTGTTGTTGTTGTTGTTGGAGGTGAATGCAAGCTTGTGGTGGTTGTTATGGTTGTGGTGGTGGTTGTTGTTGTCTAGGGTTACGGAGGGGGTTCTGGCGGTGGCGACGGTCGCGGAGCCGTTATTTCGGAGGTGCGGAGGCACATACGACATCGTTTGGCGTAATCTTCTTGTTGTTGTAGTTGCTCTTCTTTGTAAGAAATAAAAGGGATGAGGGAGTGAAGTGAAATATGATAACGATAATAACGAAAGAACGATGATGAGTGTCCTCACTCTCTCTCTCTCTCTCTCTCTCTCTCTCTCTCTCTCTATGGGCTTACAACTTCACCTCGAAACCCAAACTACAAACAAAAACTGGTTTTAACCTATCGCAAAAAACCACGTGTGAATTATAAAAGTAAGTTTTTGTTTTAATCCAAATTTACAAAATAAAATATATACTTTGTTTGTAAGAAAAAATATTTGTCTTGATAAAAATATCAGTTATTTTTAAAAAATAGTTAATAATTATATTATAGAGAATATAAATTATATAAAAAAAGGATTATATATATATATATATAAAGGATAAAATGAGAATAAAAAATGTGTATACAAAAATATATCCTTCTTATATATAGAAAACGGTGATACATCTATATATATAAATAAAATGTAAAATAAGAATAAAAATTGTGTATATAAAATGAAGCATTAGAGTAAAATGGAAATAAAAATTATATAACACAAAAAAAAAGAACTACCCTTTTTTATATATAAATAAATGATAAAATGAAAATAAAAATTATGTACAGATAAAAAAAATATCTCTTTATATATAAATTATAAAGAATAAAATAAAAAAATTGTAAAAACAAAAACAGGTATCTATATAGATAAATATAGATATAAAAATAACATTTAAAAATCTTATAATATGGTTTCTTCAGCATTGTCCACACAATAAATAAGTTTAAATATGTTATTGATTGTCCAAAGTTAAACAATTCAATTTGAACCATGTTCCATTTGTATTTGCTCCTTTTTGTAAGAGTCTGCATGATAAATTATTTGAAATTTGTTAATTTGTTCTGATTTACGTATCTCACGATTAAATGGGCTAATCTACAATTGAAAAACTTAAAAAGTTGTAAGGGAGTATGCTTTAGTAAAATTCATTGTTTATCTTCTATTACAACAATCAAATATCAGAATATATAATGTTTAACAAATATAAAATTACATAAAGATCATGATTTCTGTATTTTATATTTTTCTTGTCTCTTTTTCTAAAAAGTAATTTCATCTACATTTGTATTTAGTTTAATATAAAGTTATTATTTCCTCAACTTGTATGGTCACATCATTTGACATGCATTAATATATGTTTAAATTGTAATGCAATGCATTCAACATCACTAATTACCATTGATAACACACTAAAAATAAACTTGTCAAAATAAAATTATAATGAGTTGAATATAAAAGTCAGACTAAATTGTTAAGATAATCCGATCTAACAAATTATTTTTATTATAATATCTTTAGTTTATCAATAATAAATGATACACTTAAATTATATTAATATTTATTTCATTCAACTTTACATGTTTAACAACCTTTTCTCACTATAATGTAAATAACACTTCAATAATCATAATAAAATTGTAATATCACTAGTGCATAAACGCGTCTAACAAAACAAAAATCAACTTACAAAATGATCGGTTTTGTAAATAAAATGTCATTGTAGAAGTAAGTTAGATTGGTCGGTTAAATAGGTCTCCGACGTCAAATAAGGTATAGACGTCGACTCCCCCAGACGTCAAATGGTCTGCATACAAAACTGAAAAGTCACTATTTTATTGCCTTTAGTCGTTGGTTACAGCCCCCCTCCCCGACGTGTAATTAATTAGACGTCGGCTTCCCTCCACGGACATCTGAAAATATCTCATTTTAAACTTCAATATTAATTTTTTTACGACATAGACATTGGTCCCTAGACCAGACATCAAATCCTCTACAAAATCAAATTTAAAAGGTCACTTTTTCAGACATTAAACGTCGGATCCCCTTCTCTGGATGTTTGTGAAAATACTCCAAAGTAGCGTCAAAATGAATTTTTTTAGCAATTAGACATTGATGGTGGAGGGGGATAACGTCAAATGTTATTTTTCGTTTCGTTCACATTTGTCATTGTTACTGCAAGATATGTTTGATTAATTTTCTTCGAGTTAATTTATTTTGCACTAATTAACTTTAGTTTGCACCGATTAAATTTCATTTGCATCAAATTTTGTTTGCACCAATTAATTTTTGCTTATGATGTAGTTTTGTGCACGAGTTGACAGATCTTAGCGGGAGCATTGAGTAGTCATTCTCCATTGCTTGAAACTCATAGTATATACAATTTTATCATGTGCTAGAATCATTTTTCTGTATTTCAGGTACGGTAATATTGTAAAGAGATTAAAAAAAGAAAAGAAATGAACGTCAGTTTAGGAGGGGTCCTACATCAAAATTGACATCCAAAAAAAGAATCTGACGTTAAAATTGACGTCTCCCAATAAAACGTCGGATCTAAATTAGATGTAGAATGTCGAAAATAACCATCATCAAAAGTATTTTTTACAATAATGTATAAAGATATTGAGTTTTTCTCATATATTTATAAAATAGTTTAATCTTCACTTGAATTAAGAACTCACTAACACGTGTGATTTATGATAGTAAAGTAATCAAATTAAAATTATCATTATTTTATATATATATATATATATATATATATATATATATATATATTTATGAAATGCAGTGACCATAATGTGTGAAGAGAGATGAGGAATAAGAAATATAAGGGTGTGCTTGCTTTGAAGACATGATGGTTCATGAGGACGATGAGAATGGATGAGAGAGTGGTCCACGTGCTTATATCAAAGAACTTGCATGGATTTGTGGGGATGAATTTGAGAGAGATTAGAGAAGATTTGCATAAATTTTGAATGTGTTCCATTCTAATCCTTCAAATTTAGTAAAATATGTTTTTATCTCTCTACTCAGTTTGAAATATTAAAACCAATTTAAAAAACTTATTATAATCTCTCAAATGCCTTGAATATTTAAAGTTCAATAGTTAGATATCACACTACACTTTTTCAACCCCAATTTATTATATATATACACAATGATACACACTATTACAAATGTTATATATTTAACTATACACATAATCATAAATCAGTCCCTCCTTTAATTTCACTTAATGTACTAAAAAGTTGAATAAACATAGCTAAATTAAGCACTTAAAATATGCACTAGAAGTAAAAAGTCACAATCAACCTACTCATGCAGTCATTCACACAAATGAAGATATCATTTTCTACAAGAAAAAATGTTCAGCAATTTATCACTTTCGAAATCCTCTTCTACGTAGTTTATGTACTATATGAAATATACCGATCAGAGTTAATGGTCATTTATGGGCAGTTAGCAGGCATATTAGCAAATATTAATGTTTTGATTGTCGTATCAAATATGAATATACGACATTATTGCCATATGAAATATGAATTAATGAGCTTGATTGTTATAAGCCCTATAAATATAGGGTTAATGTCCAGGTAAAGATATTTTGATCATCGTAATAAAATAGAGACATTTTTATGAAACATATATGATTTGAGCGTTAGAGTGTCTTTTGCAGGTCAACAACCCATTAGAGTAGATTGCGTTCTTGAAGAGGATTGGACGATGGAAGCATAAAGCAGAGCAAGGAAGCCGACCCTCAGACCAATTCAACCGAAACAGTTTACATATAGGTTAACTATTTTTTTGTCCCTGAACTATTAAGTGATTTTGGTTTTAGTCCCTATTCCAAACTTTCATCTAGATAGATCCCTCACCTTTTTGAAACTCGTGAAATTCGTCCTCACTGACCAATGGCGTTAATGTTTTTTTTACGTGCCAAATTGAGTGTCACGTCACCTTTCCCTTATTTGAAAGGTGTCGACCCTCATGGTTTCATGTTCTTCATGCGGGAGGTTTCTCTCCCTTCCCCATTCATAGGTGAGTCACCCACCTAACTGGGCATCCTTCATCGAGCCACCCACCAATGGTGTTCCTCACAGTACTGCTGCAAGTGCAATTAGATCCCCAATTTTTCTCACACTTCCTTAAGAGTTATTCACTTCCTCGCTTTAGAGAGTTATTCATCATCATCGTCGCCATTCACACTCTCCATCAACTCATGCATCCATCATAATTTTCATGCCACGCCTCATGACAACCATATTCACACCTAAAAACAGAGAACAATCATGGTCCCTTGTGGTCATCCAACACGTATACAGAAAAGATCCTACTTCATTCAAACCATTCCCACATCTTCATGAGCATACAACGTTAAAAAGAAAATAAAGAAGAGTGATTCACATGCAAATTTATCATATTAATTCAAAACCAACAAAACAATGCAACATTCAACAAAGACATAATTCCCATAATCATAAAATTGAGGGCATGTCCATAGAAGAAGAAAAGAGAAAAATAGAAGGTGGCCCTCAATCTCATGTTTGAATGTGTAAGTGGTGGCACCTCCTGCGATAATGACGTGATGTGGCAACAACCCTCATTCAACACAAAGAAGAAGATGAACAAGAAACCCTTGCATGTGAGTGAGAAAAAAGAGAAGGATTTTGCAATGGAGAAGGGTGGTTAAACCCTAATTTCAATTTAATTTGAGACGTTAATTTTACATGTATCTTGAAGATGTGACACACAGTTAGTCATATTAGAAAAAAAAACTAACATTGTTGGTCATGGAAGACTAAATCTGAGACTTTCTAGAAGGAAAGGAATGAAAACAAATCAAAGTTTCAGAGATGGATGGAAGCCAAAATCGTGTGATAGTTTAAGAACTAAAAACATATTTAACATGTTTACATACTATTGAAATATAAACATCATGTCATTTTTAGCTTATTGTATACACACATATCTAAAAAAAAAATACCAATTATCACTAAAGTAAATTAGTATTCCCATAGACCATATTTATATAAGTTCAAACACAACAATTTTATTACCTAAAAAATTCAATTAATTGATTAAAACAAAACAATAATACAAATATATACATTTATTTTAGTAATATTATCAGCAAAATCATACAATAGAAATTGAAATGCTATAAAACATACATTAAACTAATACAAAAATATCACTTGAATGAAATTGTCTTTTGAAGTGATATTGATGGATAGATCAAAGTTTATACGAGTAACAAAATCTTATAAGAGTAGAATTTTCATAATAACA